CCTCCACCCCCTCGCTTTTAAGACGTTACAATGCGTTCCTGGAACACATTCCTACGGAGGGAGCTGGTAGGAACGTTGGGTTGCTCGGTCAATGGCCAGGGTCAATGGCGGCGTGGTGTATTCCGCAAATATGCCTGACTGTGATGGCGGGCACAAGCCGGCCGTGAGTAGGTTAAACGTTGAGTTTTATAAGGGCACCACGGGGTGACCAGCCCCTCCCCACCCAGCCCCACCCCTCCCACCCAGCCCCTCCCCACCCAGCCCCTCCCTGCACGACGGACGGACACAATAAACCCCTGTAGGTTGGTGTAACCAGGAGGTTCCTACCAGTAAAACCCCGTTGTAAATCGGATCGTCGTAAACTGAATCCTTTCCCATCGACGCAATGTCTTGGTGACGATGTGCAGTCAAACTAGAATAACTCGGGGGGGGGGGGGGGTGAGATGGAAACAAACTAAATAGACGCAATTTATTCCATCACCTATTTTGTGGAAAAGTCAGAATGTGTTCGTCATCTGCCGTATACACGCTATGTTTGTGCACGTGTACAAGTAAGCTCTCTGCGTGTGCTCTGGAAATATATTAGTTAACGACAAAAATAATGGCTCTGAAAAGTTTCCGACCCTTGATCGAACTGCTCGTGACCAATGTGTTAAGTTTAAACGATAAATAGCTTCTGTAAATATAGCTTCTGTATGGTGACTTTTTGCAGGAAGGTCCTGCCAAAGTTTTTTCCCCCACACTGGGGAGTAATGATCGCTATGTATAGTCCAAGCGAGTAATTTGCGGTGTAGATTTTCGAATTTGGGACCATGACGCTGTCACATGCTGTATAACACATTGTCTTGCGGAGGGAGCTGATAGGAACGTTGGGTTGCTCGGTCAATGGCCAGGGTCAACGGCGGCGTGGTGTATTCCGCAAATATGCCCGACTGTGAGGGCGGGCACAAGCCGGCGTGAGTAGGTTAAACGTTGAGTTTTATAAGGGCACCACAGGGTGACCAGCCCCTCCCCACCCAGCCCCACCCCCCACCCAGCCCCACTATCCCCACCCAGCCCCACTATCCCCACCTAGCCCCTCCCCACCCAGCCCCTCCCCACCTTTCCCACCCAGCCCCTCCCCACCCTCCCCTCCCACCCAGCCCCACCCTCCCCACCCTCCCCACCCAGCCCCTCTCCACCCTCCCCACCCAGCCCCTCCCCACCCTGCCCCTCCCCACCCTCCCCACCCAACCCTCCCCACCCAGCCCCATCCCTCCCACCCCCCACCCAGCCCCTCCCCACCCTCCCCTCTCCACCCAGCCTCACCCCTCCCATTTTTGGATGCACGACGGACGGACACAATAATCCCCTGTGGGCTGGTGTAACCAGGAGGTTCCCTACCAGTAAGAATTAGTCTCTTGCGAATGATCTCACGGGATCTAGAACGGACAGTCTTAGTTGCCACGACGAACGCCAGAGGCGACTGACATCTGAACCTGCCCTGGGCCTCCATCCCTTCTCCAACCAACAATGACCAGCGTGGTGAAGTATGGCCTAACTCCCATGACCACCACTGGTCTTGGGAGGGCTTCGCCCAGCGGTAGTGGGTTGACAAAAGTCTAAATCGTATTGAATTTAAGCTCGGCTTAAACAAAACAACATTACGGCCTTCAAATTTTGATTTAAAGCTTTCGTGACTGCAGGGATTCATATTCTTGGTCCTTTCGGTAAAGTCACGTAGAATGGAAATAATAAAATAATAAAAATAAAACAATAAAATAATTCTTACGACGTTTCGGCCACAACGCAAGTAGCCGTCCTCAGGTGGAGAACAGGTGTGTCGAGGAGACAGGGATGCCCACGTGGGTGTACGCAGAGCAACGGGGCTCACGCGTGGAACTCGGTGTACATCTCTGGGGTCTCGCATCGATCCAAATATTACGAACTCAAGCCACGCCGAAGCAGTGCGTGATGACGTCATCGCGTCCGACGCTGTGGGAATTCGCGCTGTGCGTAATGACGTCGCACGCTTTACGTAACCGGTTGACGGAGCGTCAGCCAACCACAACCGCGGGGCGGTGAGTGCGCGTTGACGTCATCGCGGCGCAAACAACAACCGAAGGTTTTTACATCCAACGTGATGACGTCACACTGGCCTCACGTAACATTCGCGAGGTGACGGCGACTGTGCGTGTTTTGTGATGTCATCAACAAGAACAACCGCCGTTCGCCACTCAGTAACGGTGACGTCACCACGGCACTTGTGACGTCACCACGGCACTTGTGCCATGCTAGGTGCACTTTGATGTCTTCACACACAACCCGCCGTTAGGCACTCAGTAACGGTGACGTCACCACGGCACTTGTGATGTCACCACGGCTATTGTGCCATTCTAGGTGCACTTTTGATGTCATCACACAATACCCGTTGTTCGTCACTCAGTAACGGTGACGTCACCACGGCACTTGTGACGTCACCACGGCACTTGTGCCAGGCTAGGTGCTCTTTGATGTCATCACACAATACCCGCCGTTAGCCACTCGGTAACGGTGACGTCACCACGACGCCCGTGCCAGGCCAGGTGCACTTTGAGGCTATCACGTGAAGTGTGGAAGGGCTCGCTGCTGGCAGGAAGGTCACGGGACGCGCCACCGTGGTCAGATGTTAACTACCTCGCCTGGTGCACAGGAGGTCGTGGGTTCGATCCCGACCCTGACGCCTGCTGCTGTAGATTTGGAGTTTGCGTGTCTCTCTCTCATCATCATCACGGTGGCTAGGAGATGTTGACTAGTTCAAGTTCAAGTTCATTTATTAGGTATAGCCCTGTGAGCCATTCAGCTCTTGAATCGGGTGCAACCGCAACAAACAAAAAACAAAAACATGAACAAAAAAACATCTTAAAGTGAATATGTGACTAAGTGCAAACAGAAAATCCAAGAAAAGACAGCAAAAATATTGCAGAAAAAACACCGTACACCAACGCTGTGTGCAAAAATCCCAGTGGGATGCAAGTCAAACAACAACAACAACCACAAGACAACTTAGATTAAGGCCATCAGTCTAACTCTGTACTACAACAACACAAACATGGCTAAACCAATACACTTTTCGAAATCACCAAAATAAAGCCATGAAGGCAATGAAAAAGCAATCATAGGAACTGACGGAATTTTCACAATAAATGGCATAAACAACATGTACTACCAAAACCCTGCAGCCATAGCTGGCTGCATGAGTCACTCCACAACAGCAGGAGCATCAATCGGAGTATTGTAATTTTTCAATGCACCTTTAAGATCAGCACACTAAATCAAAACACAGGTCATACTTCGTAGCGATCATCCGGAGAGAAACATTTTATTTTAGGTCACTGAATAGCACTGGCAGCTAGGGGTGTACAACTCCTCTAAAGCAGTTTTGAGTGAAGATCTCATAGGTAGTGACTCAAGTTTCAATTTATTTGCAACAGCATTCCAGACCCTGGGGGCATCAATAGCAAAGGCCCTTCCTCCAGTATATGTACGGCAATAGGGAATATTAAGCTGGTAAATGAGTGTAGACCTTAGGTCAAATTTGTTCTTTGAAACAGAGACGAGATCCAGCAGGTAATCTGCAGATTTTTTTGCAAGTACATCATGAATAAATAAGATCTGGTGCACAAGCCGTCGAACATTCAGAGATGTTAAGTTTGACCCAATGTAGAGATCACAGTGGTGAGTCCTATATGGGCAGTTCAATGCAAATCTTAAGGCCGAGTGATACATTGAGTCAAGCTTCTTCAGTACAGTACTTGGGGCTGATTTATACACAATGTCACAGTAATCAAGTAGAGGCAGTACGGTAGCTTTACCTCGCCTGGTACACAGGAGGTCGTGGGTTCGATCCCGACCCTGACGCCTGCTGCTGTATATTTGGAGTTTGCGTGTCTCTCATCATCATCATCATCATCATCACGGTGGCTAGGAGATGTTAACTACCTCGCCTGGTATGCAGGAGGTCGTTGGTTCGATCCCGACCCTGACGCCTGCTGCTGTGTATTTGGAGTTTGCGTGTCTCTCCCCGTGGTCGCGTGGATTTTTTTCTCAGGGTTTTCCCTTCGCATAAAAACACATACGTCGAGATTGTTTAGATTATTTTGCTGCTATTAATAAATGTCCACGTGAACAAAAATCCACTTTGTTGAGCGATCATTTGTGGCCAGGTCGCTTCTGAAAAATAGGTTAATACTGCAGTGGGCTTTGCCTGGCATAGGTTTAGTTTTATTTGTAGCGCTCTTACCCACCCTGACTCGATATCTGTGGAAACAAAAGAGCTTTATGGCTCATCGGATTTCTTCTGCAGTTATGAAATAATTATTCTGACCATCATCAAATGATTCATCACCATCACACGCCAATTGACATTCAAATTGGGCGTCAAAAACGCGATGACCTAATCAGGGCGTGGTGACGTAGGCGAGGGCGTGGTGACGTAGGCGACGGCGTGGTGACGTAGGCGAGGGCGTGGTGACGTGTGCGAGGGCGTGGTGACGTAGGCGAGGGCGTGGTGACGTAAGCGAGGGCGTGGTGACGTAGGCGAGGGCGTGGTTACGTGCGGAGGCGTGGTGACGTAGGCGGAGGCGTGGTGACGTGTACGAGGGCGTGGTGACGTAGGCGAGAGCGTGGTGACGTAACCGAGGGCGTGGTGACGTGTGCGAGAGCGTGGTTACGTACGCGAGGGCGTGGTGACGTACGCGACGGCGTGGTGACGTACACAAGGGCGTGGTGACGTACGCGAGGGCGTGGTGACGTACGCGAGCGCGTGGTGACGTAGGTGAAGGCGTGATGACGCGCGCGAACGCGTGGTGACGTACGCGAGAGCGTGGTTACGTGTACAAGGGCGTGGTGACGTGCGCGAGGGCGTGGTGACGTACGCGATGGCGTGGTGACGTACGCGAGCGCGTGGTGACGTAGATGAAGGCGTGGTGACGTACGCCAGGGCGTGGTGACGTGGACGAGCGTCCGATGACGTCATGACGCACGGCCCGAGCCAAGGGGAGTTGCGGTGGGCGCCGCTTTAACGGAGCGAATTTCGCTGTCCAAGTCGAGAGAGGAGGAGAGAGAGAGGGGGTGGGGGGGTAACAACGGAGGCGAAAGAGTTTAACACGACAAGCAAGTAAGTGCGTGTCGTGTTCATTGCCACGAGTGTCGAATCTGTGTCTCTTACCCCCCCCCCATCGCCGCCGGTGCAAAGCCTCGCGTCGCGAAGTGCACAACCCCCGAGTGTACAACACCGACAAATTGTATCCCTTTCGTGGTCCATTGTGGATGTATAGACAACTCGTAGGAGGCGATCGCGGGTTCACGCTCGCACTGGCGCACTCGTCGCAAGCAAAACGTGGCGATGTTCCCGGTGCTGGGCTGAGGTAGGTGAGGCCTAGCAGCCAGCGCCTTGCCTACTAACCTAGGCCTACGGTGTTTATACACAATGTAGTGGGGGGGGGGAGGGGGGGTTAAAAAAAATTATAATTTTTTTTAACAAGTGCAAATTATCCAATCGTGAAGAAATAATGTCGCGTCGAAGTTTTTGTGGTTGCATTCGTTGTGTTTTTATTGATGTTGGCACGATTGGAGGTTACGGTAGTGTTACCGTTTTTGCCAGTTTCAAAGTATCAAAAATAAGAATAGCTTTCTACCCTTTTTTGGCAAAGACAGGGCACAACTATAAAGTTTAGTGTATTGTAGACTAAGGTAGAGAGTGTAGTGTGTAATGTATTTGTAGGTGAGTGTATGTACTTTATCCTAGACGTGAACGGAGTGTCTGTGTGTACTTTATTGTAGCCACCAATGTGTTTTACTATAAAGTTTAGTGTGTGTGTGTGCACTGTATTGTAAACTTAGGTAGACTGTAGTGTGTAATGTATTTGTAGACGAGTTGTATGTACTTTATTGCAGACTTGAGCCGAGTGTGTACTTTATTGTAGTTTGCGGTGTGTAGTTTAGTGTGTGTAGTGTAGACTGGTGTGTAGTGTACGGTGTAGTGTGTGTACTGTAGACTGGTGTAGTGTACTGTGTAGTGTAGACTGCGGTTTGTGTGTGTGTGAGAGAGACACGCAAACTACAAATATACAGCAGGCGTCAGGGTCGAGATCGAACCCACGACCTCTTGTATACCAGGCGAGTTGGTTAACATCTCGCCACCGTGGTGCCCAAACTCAAGTAGCCGGGTTCATAGCGCACAGTTCACTAACCACTACGCCACCGCTCCGTTTCTGTGAGCTCTTGATGATTCAAACAATATTCTCCGACTCTTGTGAGGAAGCACTGCTCTGCCTCCCCCTCCCTCCATACATAATGTGTTGATCAGGATCACTTAAAAAAGCCTCTGAGAGATACCTCTGATATCTGCTCTGGAGGGGTAATTCTCAGACACGGAAGTCTCAACCACTTCTCTGGCAGAGTTCTGAATGGGTTTTAAAAAAAAAATTGGTCTCATCGCATGACATCGGGAGCACAATCGGAATAAAAAAGGGCGAAACGAAAACAAATTCGGTCGACACGGCACCTGTGTACCCCTGCACTGGCAGAGATGCCTCTTGCAAGAGGGAGCTGCAGAGAGCCCCGTGTCTCCAAGGTCGAGCAAGCTCGAAAGTGGCTGCCGTGGAGTGAAAAGGGTTGAGAGAGGGCCCTGTTTTGTAAGAGGGTATTTTGGCCGACAATTTTCCCATGTATGTTGCCCGGCTTTTTTTTTTGGTTGTTCTCGTTGTGTAAATTTCACGATTTCTGTACAGCGTCTTGACTTGAATTTGCATTCAGATTTGCCATGTGAATCCAAATTGCTTTGCGTAATTGTCATTGTCATTATTATTGTACATAAAACACTATTTCAAGTCTACATTGAGCGACTTTGCAGTCATTGTTAACAAAGCTACACTGGCGTTGGTTCGTGTACATGGATAGGCCCGTGTAATGATTTGTATTTACTATATTATACAGTATATACACGTTTCTACAACTTTTGCATTTTAGAGTCACTTATATAAATGAAAGCACCAATCTATTATAAAAGCCCAGCGTTCCATTTTTCCGTTTGTCAACTAAATGATGAGAGCCTTCCAGAAGGCCTGAATCAAAACGTGATAGAAAGTGAACCCCCCCCCCCCTCAGATGTGGGGGTAAAAAGTTGATCCAACAGCTTTTCAAAAATGGTTGAATCCCCCCAAATATTCCCTCCCCCCCCCAAAATAGAAATGTATTTTGTAGGAATATATGCCTACAAACCCTACATACAATATAGTCAATAGTATCTGCACACATGTGCAGGTGGGGGGGGCACACCAGTGGGGCGACGGGCGAGGCACAAAGTGCTGAGAAGCTAGAATTTCTAGTGAATAAAACTACGAGCAAATTGTAACAAAGCTGCAACCAATTCTATAGATTTTTTCAAATGTTTGCTCGATAAATGCTTTGTAGTTTGAATTGACTCTACAACAAAGCAATGTAAATGTCGGTTTGAACTAAAGTCCTTGTAATGTTTGCCAATATTTTGTGTGCCTTCTTGAATTGGTTTAATTAGGCGGTGAGTTACTGTTCATACATCATCTAAATAATGGAAAGAAAAAAAATCTAGCCCACCTGTCTGTGAAATACATCTATTCTTTGATTATCAGATGTCCTCATTGTTTGACTGTGGTGTTTTGACATTGCCCAATCCTCAAAAAGCAAGCAATCCCACTGGGGTTTACACGTGTTTGTAAAGTATCCTTTGACAAATTGGTCGTCAGATAATTGTGTTGACTGTCATTTGTTTTAATTTCTATTTATTTTAGGATACAGTGAACACGGTGGCTGACATTTTGCCGAGTTCTCACAACCTCCCTATATTCAAGAAACATATATTACACAGTTAAACAGTCGTGTTTATTGCTGGCCGCTTTGTGCTTGTGTTCAGCGACTGTGATTAAGACAGACGTTATTGTCCACTCTTGTGGTCTGATTAGCCTTTTTATTTTATGTTACACTCAAAAACTTGTTGCCTTTTGACATTTCCTAAAATTCATAAACACAAGGAATATATAATGTACGGGCCTTTTTTGATGTAAAGCTTTCTTGAATGCAGGTGTTCATATTCTTGGTTCTTTCGGTAAAGTCACGTAGAAGGGGAACAATAAAATAATAAAACATATATAACAATAACAATCTCACGACGTTTCGATTGCAACACAAGCAATCATCATCAGGTGTGAAAACCACATCAAGAAAATTAGAAAAAAGTGGCGGTTTTTTCAAATTTTATTGTTTCATATTTTTTATTATTTTATTGTTTCCTTCTACGTGACTTTACCGAAAGAACCAAGAATATGTACAGGCCTTTTTCAATCCAGCCCTGGATGAAGGCCTCTCTGTGGCTGTAATGGAAGCGTGGGTTGACGAGGTGTGGGTGCTGTTCACCAGATCCGGTATCGTTCTCTACTGATGTTAGCCGTGGCTGGGAAGTTAATCTCAGGAATTGAGTTCATAGCGCAGCGCGCTATGCACCAAGCTGCCGTCGCTGTTTATAAAACACATTGGTAAAACGTTCAATTATAAATTGTGTGTGCACGTGTTTGTAACCAACAGTGGCGTGGCATCCACGTAGCAACAAGAGGATGATGCCAATGGGTGACCACGGCTACAGAGAGAAGTCAACATTTGTAAGTACAATCCTGGAGCGTTTACAGATCTCATTTGATATTTTGTTATAAGCCCCCCCCCTCCCAAACAATAAAGTGATTGGTATATTTTCGAATGCCGGTAAGATACCTGTCAACTCATACGATTTACCCCATATTCTTGTACAGGGCACTGATAAGGGGTTGACAGGCATGCGATAAGATGATTCAGATGTGGCCGTTGACAAGAGCTGCTACAGATTATAGTCAAGAGTTACCGGAGTCAAGGATTACTTAACTGTTTTTTTTTCTACACTTCTGCATTTTTTGATAGTGTGTCAGCGTTATTTAATTTTAGTTAATTTTATAGAATATAGAAATGTAATGGATGTTCCGGTTCGGTGGGATTTTACGCACGGTTTTATGTTTTGAGTGCTCCAAGAGACCAGCATGAAGCTTATCTTATTTGTTGGAAGTTATTATAAAAAAAAACATTGGAAAATGGGATAAATAGATCTATTTATTTTATTGTGTTAATATTAATTTGAATTTGAAAGGAAAGAAGACAAACACATGACCACTGTTATGTTCTGTTGTGCTTTGGTTGTTTTATATGGGCCTTTAAAGCAGCGCTTTCTCAATAATGTGTGCGTGTGTTCCATATTTTTCACGCTTCTAGATGGACCAGGAGCCTCGTTGGCTGGACAACCCTGATGACGTACCGATCTATCATTATCGAGGCATGGAGCGGCGTAGGTCACCCAAAGAATGGGTATGTGTCTGTGTGTACCATGATACCTAACTCTAAACAAAGACAAAGATCCCCCTCTTATAACCTTAACAGACTGTTGGGGCAAGTGCTGTTAGCTAGCACCTATGAAGGCTGCCACGGTATGCGAGGGGGTGGGTGGCCAGCACCACACCTGACCGCCTTTGTCTCCCTAGTGGTGATGTTTACACACCATACTGGGTTCTAATTTTAAGGCTGAGTTGACCTAGAGATGTCTAGGACTGGTCTTTCACGTCCGATTAGCACAGTTGGCTACATACAGTGCGAAAGAAGTTGAACATACATACATAATCGTGAGTGGAAATCGAACTCGGGTTGTCGAGTTAGTAGTGCAGCGCACTAATCGTTACGCTACCGCTCCCCCTAAGCAGACTCCTCTCTCTACCTGCATTGTTGACCTACCAAGTTCGACAGCCTAGAAAATCTTTTGGGGATGGGCTGCAGATAATTAGTGGTTTATTTCGCAGGGAGATGCTTATATATTTGTTTGGAGTTTTCAATATGTATCTCTACCTCAATCTGCTTTATTTCACACATCTACAAATCTAAGGTTTATATGAAACTGGTCTGGCAAGGCCACTGTGGCTCAGACTGATGGTGACAGGTTTGGGAAAATCACGGACTCAGCACCCGAGCATGTCAAGCGAATTATCAGAGGTTCTTAGAGCAGCGGGAGAAATGACCCAAGCTGTCTTGCGTGCCTCCCTTGTTATTTAATGTCTTTGTTCTGGAAAGTGACCACTTATAATGTTGTTACTAGGCAGCAAGCAAGTGTCTCGCACCACATTTCAGCTTTGGTGATCATTTTTTGCGTAAATAATTTTAGTTCATTGCTCTTTATCAAGGTGTGAACCTATTGAGATGTATTATCTTCTTTGCAAGGTACACTCTCTTGTAACCTTTGTTAGCGTACAAGCACGTACATTAGTTCCTCATTCTGCTACAGGGTAATATTTTTTAAAATTTCCATAAATATTACTCTCATGCATGTCATGTCTGTTTAGTCACGACTGCACGTGTTTTGAACATTTATGTACGACACACTTTTTTTAATTAATAGTTGTCGTTTGCTTTGTTTTAATCTTTAGTACGAAGAAGATCGGGACGTCCACCGACAGTGGGACAGGCGTTCAGCAAGTCGCGCACCAGAATACAGGTGAGTGAAAATGTTACCATAAAGCTACCAAACATGCCGGCTTGGCTGGGGGGGGGGGGAATCTTGGGTTATGAATTTTTTTCCACCCAATTAAAAATGCTCTCCTCAAGAACAATCCATAATACGGGCAAAGGGTTGTGGCAGGGCTATCTGGATAGCGGGCAGGGTTGGCAGAAGAGTTGGTGGGGCCAGAGCGGTAGGGCAGGCCACTCATTGTGTTGGCAGACCTCTAACGATCTTTGAAAATGGATGTGTAGCTCGTCGGATTCCTCCTGAAATGAATGGGGGCACGGTTGACTCAGGGATGGTGCTGCCAGCTCACCGTCTGTCCCCGGTTGAGCCTCCACCAAAAAAATGTATCGCTTTAAATTGACAGGTTTGTAACAATTCACCCTTCCCTTCACCGGGAGTCTGAATTTCCACAATTTAGAGTCATGATTGGATTTAATAAACAAATCTATTTTGTTTGTACTGCCTCATCTGGATTGTTTTCTTTATACCATAGTTTCCCAAATGTCAGTCTTCGCAACCTGCCACGCTACATCTTTCTGCATTTACCAATTTACTCCAACTGAAATAGAAATGAACAAGTTCCATTGCGCACACGCTCGATAATTATTTAACACGACGACGCGCTACCCGCGTCTCGTGGAACACACGTGCACACACAGATCTCAAGCTTAATTTGAAGCGGCAGCGTTAACCGCTTGGCACGTCACGTGAGACTAGAGTTTGGGAAACTCTTCCTTGCACTGTCTTTGTCTCTGCTACCTCTCTCTGTACTGTCTCGTCTGTATTGTTTTATCTGTGCTGTTTCATGCATATCATCGCATTTGCATTGTCACTCTTATTTTCGTAAAATAACGAAGTAAAAGTAATTTAACCGCGGAATAAGGTGGTGCCCATCTCTTGTTTACAGCTCTGAGCCAGTAGTGGAAATTCCACCTTTGCATGGGTGGGTGGGTGGGCGGGTGCCACCTTATCTACAGGGCAACCACTGTTTACGTCCCCAGAAAGTCGTGCCCGGTATATCGACCCATTCAAGGTTGATGGCCTGAGTCAATCCCCCTACCAGGGTGTGAACTCACAACCCTTCGATGGCGGCGATCTGCTCGCCGTACCGCTTTGCCACCTGATCGGTTTGTTCTGGCCAGACGTTAATGTTGAAAATGATATGAATCGTCATGCTTTGATGATGATTTTATTGTGAATGACCTTTAATGTTTTGTAGCTTCCCATTGGCAATGTTTTGTTCTAACACGATTCGCCACTAGGTGGCAGACGCACATAACACACGGGGCATGGTGCAGACATTGATTCTCATGCATTAAATAGCAATTTCGAAACGTTCCTCAGTATGTTGTAAGTAATTTTGCGACGTATAATCTTTTGCACAAATACTCTTGAGGTCGTTGAAACTAAATGATACCAATAAAATGTAACAAAAACAAGCGTATGAGCTAAAACACTTCATTGTAAACACTGACTCAATCCACTTACATTCCAAGGCCGATGTTTAATAGATTTACTTAATGTATTTATTATTTTAAAACAAACATTAACGGTACATTTGTTTAAGTTAATTAGAGGAACCTCTCTGCAACAAACCCTGAGTAATGATGACAAGCGTTGGGTGGGCATGCTGGGATTTATTTATTTTGTCATTCCGCTCAAACTGTTTTGATTAATTGCCACGTTTTGAAATACACATTTGAGCCTTTTATTGTTAATCTTCTCAAATGTGCTTTCTTTTTTTACACAATTGAATACATTCTTTGTGTATCATTCCATTTTATCTTCCGAACCATGAGACTGAATTTTCGAATAACGGTATCTTCGTATTTTGTGTTTTGATACGTAGAGTACTCCGATACACTGGATCGAGATGTTATGAGTAGGTGTGCAATAAATGTCATATACGTTTTTATCAAATGTGTTTCATCTATAATTTTTTTATACATCGAGACCCAGAAACTGAGTGATGGAAAGAAACCTGTGAGGGCATTATACATGGAGGTGGAGCAATTATATCAGCTTGTGTGCAGGTGCTTGACGGATCGTTACATTGCAGCGATTGCTGCCGCTCAGGGAGACCTTCATCCAGCAGTGGATTGATCAAGGCTGCCGCTGATAAACTTAATAGCAGTACAAGTGCATCTTTGCGTGTACAGTAGTCCCTCGGTCAACAGTGACATCGGTTAATGGTTTTTCGGTGAACGTTTCGCCTACGATAGGACCCCCCCCATGGTTTCGACTGACGTTAATATTTTTATGAACGGTTCCGTTTACGTTATGCACGCTGGCGCTAATTTCGGCCAATCCCAGCGCTCGTGAGTGGGCTGAGCATTCCTCAGCCAATCAGGGACACCCATTGATGAGCGTTTAGATCTCGACTGGCTTTATTTACATTGTTTTCTGTTTGGGCAGTGTAAACGGCTCTCTTGCAGACGCAGTGATTTTTACTTATTTTTCAACTTATAAGTGAATTCATAGTATTTGCAATGGCCCCTCAAGTGAATTTGCGAAAGGAAAATAGGAGGAGGAAAGTAATTTTCGTTAAAACAAAGCAGGAAATTATTGATAAGCATGATTATTTATTATAATTATTGATAAGCATAATCAGTGTACTCATGAGTGAGTTAGGCTTGACCCAATCGACCATTTTTACAATTTTGCAAAATACGGGCAAAAAGCTGCCAATGTGACGGATTCCTCGACCAGGATGTTCAAAGGTAGGGAAATCATTGTAGAAATGGAGAGACTGCTAATGATGTGGATTCAGGATACGGAAATGCGAGGTGAGTCTGTAGATAGCTTAACCATTTTTGAGGGCGAGATTGATCTTTGAAAACTTAAAACGCAAAGCACCGCAATCCTCTGGTTCATTGTTTGAAGACTTTAAGGCAAGCAAGGGGCGGTTCGAAAAGTTTAAGAAGAAAAACTGAGATCAAAAATGTGGTTAGGTAAGACATTTTTTACGCTCTCTATTCATTGTTTAACTATGTTGCTAATTAATATGAACCCTTTTCGATATGTTATTTTAATGTGTATGAATCTTGAGTGTTTAAATGTTATATACTATGTTTTTTAGGGTCAAAAAGGTCAACTTCTGATTGTTTTAGAATGGGTTAAAGCTTTTAACAAGTAATTCCTATATTTGATTAACAGTTATTTCGGTGAACATTCGTTTTCGTGGAACGGATTAAAAACGTTAGCCGAGGTACTAACTCTATAAGTAGAATTTTAAGGGTCATGAACATGCTGGACTGTTGAAGTACATTTTTTTTTACGAGCAAACTTTGAAATTGATTTAACAATATAATCATTGGATGCCAATTTTAAGTCCTACAATTCACAGGATTACTCGCTGTCAAAATATCAAAGCAGCATTCATTAATTTGCATTTGCTTGAACTAAAATGTCCCCATTCGAAAATGTCAGTCAAGGCGCAATGCTTCGTGTGAAGTCCTGGGCTAGTCACACTCGACGTAAATGTCACTGCTTGTGACCTCTGTAAGGTCTGTCTGCTCGGTAGTAGAGACCACAGACCGCATTGACTGAGCTTGGGATGTGAATCCAACATCTTACCCACACCTTCACTACCGCCTAAAATTTTCTGGGGCCCAGTATGAATAGGCTCCTTTTTATCCCCCATTTTGTTATTGCCTTTTCAAGAATTTTTTTTCCGTCCAGGCGATTTTTGGGGGGTTGTGTGAATTCCTCACTTTGTTCAGCAGATTACAACTGACCTTTTGCCCCCCCACCCCCCCCCCCCCCCCCCCCCGTTGAAGGGCATTACGGTAGTATGGCGCGCAAAGATTGGACCTACGATACAAGCCGGGACTGTTGGATTTAAGCAGACGTAAACACGCTGAAATTAGCTTAATTGCCTTGGCTCTAGCTTTCTGGCCTCCCGTTCTGGCCTTAGCCCTGCAAATTTAATTTGGGTTGCGTAGTTGTTGATTAACCTTACACTAGGTATAGAACCCCTTTTTTGTTTTTACTTAAAATAGTTTTATCGTAAAAGAGTGGCCTTGTGTGATTTTTTTTTTGGTAATACAGGGACGTATACAACATGCACGTTGCAGTCAGCGTTTCGCTGTCGCGGGTGCACGGCTGGACAGTGGAGTGAGTTGTTGGAATAAAAAAAACTGTACAGTTTCCTTTGGTTGTTAGTCAGGGAAATGTTTCTTTCATGGGATTACGGTGTAAAGCATTTCCTGGGTACTGTGTAGCAGCTATTCCTGGGCGTCCCTCGTTCCCAAACGGCTGTGCCAAGGGTACGGTGTAGAATTCGCGCTCGAACAAAGAATGTTGCAGAAAGAGCCGCGGCTGTTCAACTTTGTTTGACAATGACACGCTGTACACGTACAGCCCTGTTGTCAAGTGACTGCTGGATGAGGGCCCTCCCCCATGCCATGCGGGTTATGGGGGTTGTTTGACCGACCGTCACGCTGGTCAGTGCTGGTTGATGAAGGCGGAGAGCACTGATGTCGTAGCTTTATAAATACGGCACAGCGGTAGATTTTGCTGCCCACCCTGCAGCTCCGCAGGCTACAATAACACGTCACGCACGGTGGTCACGTATCCAAGTGCTTTCCAGGCTCCAAACCCGCTTAGCTTTTGAGAGCTGATGAGATCACGTGCATTCCTGGTGATTTGGTCATAGGGACAGACTGCTTAAGTTGCCTTTTTTTTCTCAGTGCGCTCAACTGGTATATGAAGTCCTTTCGTTGATCAAGACTTTCCCTTGTCGTTTGTGTTTGAGCTCAGAGTCTGTCTCGCCATGCTTAACAAACTGCAGCGGCTTAGGCACCACGTCCAGGGATTTATTTTTCAGTGGCGGTTAAAACGCAGATTTTTTTTTGTCTTTCCCCAAATCTGCCACCCACATCTCCGCGGTGTTTCTTATGCACCACTGACAGCAGCTTTAGCCCGTCTGCCACTTTTTCTCTCGGTTTTTTTTCTTCTCTTTTTTCCACCCTCCTGCCCTGCTGTCAACGGTGGCGGGGGTCTCCAAGATGTCCAAAGAATTTGAGGAATGCTCTGCAGAAGTGGGAGATGTGGCAGTGACCTGGAGCACTCCGCTGAAAGACAATGTTTGCCTTGGGTTTTCGCAGCTGAAACCTGCCGTGGCTGGTTCGGCGACATTTTAAAGGGATCACTGCTAAATCTGTACCAATATTTACAGTACGTTGTGGTCAAGATGCAGTTATTTGCATTCGGAGCGCTAAGCCGGGCTATGGTTTTTAAACTACTGTGCCGTGTTTTGGGATTGATGGCCCCAAAAAGCTGGTGGGTTTTGTCGCAACCTTAAGTTGGTAATTATATTTGGTATTTAAAACAGATATTTCATTCGCAAGGTGAACCCTCACTGAGGTTCGATGTTTATTTTCTAACAGAAACCTTATCAAATGTGTGTTAATGTGGTTAAAGTTAATATTTATGGTATTTTCCAGTTATAATTGGTTATACGTAGAAACTTTATGTAAACATTGTTATTTTGATTACTGCATATACAAGACATATTTATGTTTGTGAGCTGATGTATTGAATGAAAATTAACAACATTAAATAGAGTAGCTATTTGTGAATTGCACTGAGAGACAAAACGAGCAACACATGGATTCGAGAATGTATGCAAGTTAGAGATATATTTACTATTCAACGAAAAGTCACTACCCTTGAAGAAAGACATGTCTTGGCCAACGATGATGCCCGGTGGTTGAGATGACAGCGGCAGTCAAATGAGGAAAAACCCTTGATAGGACATCAACCGTAGAGACTGAGCGATGTAATAAAATTTGAATACGACCATAAACTTTTGAATGCAATTAACATTTGAATTCGACCTTCCATGCACATTGCGTGGACCATGAAATACAGCGACGTCTTGGGAACGCCTTCATCCGGCAGTGTTATTAATTGTATCTGATGACGACGATTTACTTAACACAGGCAATTCTCGTCTTTCCATTGTAACCTCGTTTACCGCAGTGAGCAAGACCACTACCGCCACCAAATGCCTCGTGGCAGGCCCTGGGCCAACAACACGCCGTCCGGCGCGATGCCCTTCGACGCTCGCACCGTGCGCAACACGGCTCGTGGCGGCAGTGGCGACGACGGAGTTGGTGTGCGGGACCGCAGCTTCTCCCCCTACGAGCGCGGCAATGACCTGCGCCGCAGCTACTCGCCGAACAACGACTCGTACGAGCCGGGGCCAGGGAGGTGGACGAGCGGCCGCAGTTACGAGCGGGAGCGGTTGCCCCCGTTGCTGCCCGGGGGCCGCAGCATCGCTGGCGACAGGCGGTCTGTTTCGCCGCCGCCGTACTTCCAGGGCCGCCCGAGTTTCACGGAATGGGACGATGCACCCGGGAGATCGAAGGCTGCCAGGCCGGAACCCAAGAGGAGGAGGAGTCCTCTGCTGGCGCATCCCAAGGCGTACAGGTCGACGTTGCCAGCCGCGGGCCATGCTGTGGGTGTCTCATTGAAGCCGCACACGGTCACCAGGCAGAGCAAAGGTGTGGTGGGGTGGTGGTGGTGGTGGTGTGTGTCGATTTGGTACTTGCCTTCTCAGTGATGAGAGGGTTACTTACATTTTTAGGCAAAGTGAGAATGTATTCATTTGTCGCCCCATCGGAAATTGCATTGACCAAATATCCCAATGCAGGATTATCCCGAAAGATCTTGAGACTCAAAGGAAGCTTTCCTGGGTTAATATTTGGCATCATAAATTTCAGTAGGCGTGTAATAATGAGTAATAATTCCTCCCCCCTTCAACTCAACCTGCCAGTGATTCAATTAATTGTTACAATTTGAAAGCACTTATTTCAGAATTAATTATTTTCAATTGTGAATTTAAAACCTTTGGGGGATGTGGTGATTTCCTGAACCAATTACATGCAGTATGTCCAATCAAAATAATTTGGACACATGGGCCCGATACAAGTCGTGACCATAAGAATTGATTTTGAGTAGGGTTGTTCAACATATTAAATGTTATATTAATACATGGTATTTTAATTATTTTTTTGAATGATACAAAATATAGATTTTTTTGTAATCTTTTTTTAAAATTGATGATCAATTCTGAATAGATAGTTGAAACCGGGAAGATGTTAGTAACCTTCGGTCTGCTCGGCACGTGCGCACGTTCAAACTGCACGGCGGGTTCCAGCGTGATTGGTTAGCAGCAGCCGTTGTGTGCACCAACATTCAGTCCCTGCATGGCATGCTCGGCCAGACACAAAAGACGCGGCCTGAGTTTTTTCATTTTTAGATCCTTAGATCTGTGTGGAAAACCCGGATTTAATGTTTTTAATAGTTTTATTTTTTGCTTTGCGGTTATCGTAATTGATAACCTTAATTTTGAGTGATGAATCGACCGATTGTCACGTGACTGGCACGACCGCGACCGGGCGAGCGACAGTCCAGGTGGCAGTTTTGGCGGTGAGGTGCACGTGCCCTCGGTGGGTTACGGGAGCAGACCCCCGTCTTAGAAGCTGCTCACCGGAGTGTTGAACCCGGAGGGTTATTTATAAAACACTTCTTGATTTACGGCGACGTGCTGTACGTCGAATTCCAGGTTTTCGTCAGTAGTTTTTGTCCTTTTTTTATTTTCACATGCATCATTGACAAATGTTTAGGCTTAGCTGCTAACTTAAAAAAAAAAACCCGAGGTTTGAAGGGAGATCGTCTTTCGGTGTGTCGATGGACGGATAATGAAGCGGCAGGCGGAAGGTTAAGATGGAATTCACATCTGTGATCCGTGTTGCTGCTCGAAGTGAGTTCACATTTTTCATGCAACGTATGCATGAGCGCATTAATCAACGTAAAAATGTATCACTGACATGTTGGCCTTTTTTTATTTGCACTTAGATTTATGGCCCAGTGATAGTGGGCATACTTTGGAAAATGTAAATTGAAAAATATCAGTAATAGTTAAAAACCGCAAAGATAATTTAACTTACGTTTTGAGTGAAAGATTGGAGTCGTGTTCCGTTGGCAGCCAAGTTCCATGAGACTCTGGAGGTCGATGGGAACAAAGTGCTGCTGATGGCTGATAGGTGACACCACTTTAATGAGAATGCATCGTCGTTGACCCTAAAGTTTAACCTTAGCCCCGACTTTTGTAGGCGTTTATCAACATTGCTTTGCTCGAAGAAAAAAAAAATTGATTTCCTTTAGCCTCTTTTTTTTTGCCATCCTCTTAACTTTATTGTGGCTCTCCTCTCCAATTACAAAACACGGCTGACAGTAAATGTCTGGAACAAAAGCCACACAGGACGTCAAAGCTCCCCCTTTTCTTCTGCAGAATTTGCCGATGTCCCTGATTTATTGCCATCACCTGCGGGGGAGGGATGAGGCGGGCTCGGGAATGAAGAATGTCGTTACCAGCTGGTTTTATAGTGAGAGCCGGATGCCCGGCCGGTCGCTTGGAGCTTTTGTTCGGGAAAGGTCCGACGCTCAGCTGGAGTTCCTCGCCATTCGTTTTATTTACCTCCAGACAGTTTCACTCCGTGGCTCGGAAATATAGAAGGTGAAAGGCACAGGGAGGTCTGGAAACTCTATCAGGGTGCAATCTGCAGAGAAACCTGGACCATATATCTAATTATTTGGAGAATTATTAATGTGCTTGAATGTATAGAAGGGAAGAGAAAAAAAACATCTGGGAAGTAATTCAGCTTGTCCCACCGTCCCCCCCTCGTCTGCCAGAACGTGCAGTGAATTTGTGGAGCACACCCGATCGGCGCACGATGTCATGCGGCTACGCTTGAGTTACAGTTTAACCGTGTGTTTTGAATGTCACACATTTTCCCAATTTGAAATGAGTGATTAATGTGGATTTTTTTTTCTCCTTCAGGAAAATCTGCGGAACCGCCGAAAACTAAACTTGGTTTCCGCAGCCCGTCGGCCTCCCCCAAGGTGAGCTGACGTCTGATACGTCTCGCGTCCACTGAGAGAGAACACTGCCTGGTATATTTATAGATTAATGACTAAGAATAACAGGGCATTGAGAGAAAAGTTAGTTTTCTAAAGTTATTCGAAAGCATATTTGCTGACTTACTCTTAAATAATTTCTACACCTATGTCAGTAAAGGCTTGCTGTTACTCTGAGTGTTTTTATTCACATTATGTATCTATTTTAAAATATTTTTTTGTGCAAGCCCTGGTTTTTACATTTTTTACAGGGCGACTTCAGCACTTGATCCGGTTGAGATCTGTGCTCAGCACACTAGCCCGCTGAACGAATTAGCAAAGATTAGAAGGTTGTATTCCTGTATGAGGAGCTTCCCTGGTTGCCTTTGCTGTCCCTGAGACTTGGTGTTGGTGCCAGTCTACGTTGCAGTTTGGCTCTCCTCTCTTGCATATTTCTCTGCTTTTACCCACCAGATTGGCGAGATATTAACTTCCTCGCCTGGTATGCAGGAGGTTGCGGGTTTTGATCCCGACCCTGACGCTTGTATATTTGGAGTTTGCATGTTCTCCCCGTGGTCGCGTGGATTTTTCTCCGGGTCCTCCCGTTTTCCCTCCACGTTTTGAAACACGCGTTTCGAGTATTTGGCTGCTATGTATTTCCACGCGATAAGCCACTTCGTTGAGATATCATTTGTGGCCAGGACGCTTATAAAAAATAACTATATAGCTCAGTGGGCCTTACCTGGCAATATTAAAAATAGTTTTACCTCCACCCCCGATCCCCCCTTGTACCTCAATTTGTTATTGTTTACTTTTATAAAGTGTATTTTGAGATCTGCTTGCATATAGATGCTTTATAGACTATTAATCATCGCCATTGGAACGTTATTTTTATGGCTTTTGGATGGTTTTCTTTGCAAAAGACCACTCATGTTTTTTTTGTAAACTCTTGGCCGCTAATTCTCCCCCCCCCCTCCCTTGCCATCTGTGTGTGTGTCAGGTACTCGATGCAGCACAGCCACCAACGCAAAGCGGACAGATCAACTCGAGCCTGGCTGCCGAGGAGGTCGTCTCTGCGGCGGTGGCGGCGGTAAAGAACGCTTCCCCCAAGCCGTCCGATTGGACGGAAAGGACGAACCTCGCCGACATGATGGTCGGCGCGGACGCCCGCGTGGGCCTGTCGTTTCCCACCAACGGTGTGCCCAAGGACCACCCGACGGAGGCGTACGGCGCTACCTTCCTCCAGAAGTTTGGCCCCAAGGGCGACGAAGACAAGGGACGAGCCAAATTTGCCGAAAGCAGCGTCGCTGGAAAGTCGAGCGAAGCTAGGCCGGCCACGGACGCTGCGGGCGGTGCTCCTCCGGAGCCGGTGATATGGAACTGCGGCAAGCGTTTGGCGGCGGCGGCGAGCGGAGGGATTCCCTTCCTGTCATCGACGCTCCAGGAGCAGCAGCAGCAGCAGCAGCAGCAACAGGATTCCCCGAATTCTCCCGCTATGCGCGGCGTAGGGAAGCCGCTTTGTCGGGGCGGCTTGGCGGAGATTTCGACTTCCTCTGACGAGCCGGCAGCGGCGCGTTTGGAGAAGGCCTCCGTGGGACCGGTGGCGGGGCCTTCGGATGGCGCCGTTGGCTCGAGCACGGCCTCTCCGCCCGTAGGCATCGGAGACGCGGAGGCTGCAGCTAAGAGTGAGTGGCGCAGTTTTGGTTTCACCTTAAAAGTACAGATTCGGTGGCCGGTGGCGTCAACGTGGCCTCTGAAGATGCGTTGGTTCACGGGTTAAGTTTGATATATTTTGCTTGTGATACATGCACTGTGCCTGTAAAATAATTGTTTTCAATAATGGCTATTATCTGCTATGAAATGGATACAAAAAACTGACAGTATACAATAAACAAAAAACTTTTTTCCGTCTGTCGGCACAATGCATTTGAATAATAGTTTATTACCTGCTATGACAATGATCGGAAATATAGAGATGTTGACAAATGAAGATTGAACACAAGCTGAATGGCGCGCAAAGAAGCATAGAGAGGTTGCATGCTTGCAATTATCTGAGAGACAGAAACACTTTCACGAGAGAACATGAGCTCGTTGGAGACATCGCATTGTCAAGGAAAGAGCGAGGGTTTCGGCAGGAGACACGTCACGGGAAGAGATCATGTCCTGGTGGTCAAGACTCATGACAGTGGCAGCCAAAGGAGAGAACACACCGGAGAGGTCTTTGTGGAGATGGCACGATGAAATTAGTTCACCTGCATTACTAAACTACACTCTGTTTTCTTCTACCACGTAAGGCCCACCGAGCTATTTATAGCGCTTTTTCAGAAATAACCTCGCCACAATTGGAAGCCCAATGAAGGAGCTTATCACTTGGAAATTTATAGAAGCCAAATACTGCAAGCGCACGTTGATTCTAAATGTGGAGGGGAAAAACCAGAGGAGCCAGAAAAATATCCACACGACCACGGGCAGAGAGACACGCAAACTCCAAATATACAGCAGCAGGCGTCAGGGTCATGATCGAAGCCCCGACCTCCTGTACACCAGGCGAGGTAGTTAACATCTCCTAGCCACCGTGATGATGATGATGATGAGAGAGAGACACGCAATCTCCAAATATATAGCAGTAGTACACCAGCCCACAGGGGATTATTGTGTCCGTCCGTCGTGCATCCAAAAATGGGAGGGGTGGGGCTGGGTGGAGAGGGGAGGGTGAGGAATGACCTCCTGTAGACCAGGCGAGGTAGTTACCATCTACCCACCGCGTACAGCTGCAAGATGGATTGTTGCATCACGAGACCTTGAGGCAGAGCGGTGGTTTGGGTAAATCCTCCTCAAGCAGTCGATACATTGTGGCTGCTAATGTTGATGACATGCCTATTATCGTTTAAAAATATATATATATTTACAAATTGGATTTTTTTTAGATTTAGCACATATACATGCCCCATTTCGTCAGATATCGGAAGCTAACAAGGATAGAGCCTGGATAAGGCTCTGATGGGTGACCACTAAAGGATAACATTTTTCGTCACATCCTTTAATTATAATTTTTTTGCCTTCATGCAGTTACTTTTTCTGCACCGCGATAGTTGCTGCTTTGTCATTCAATGGCCACACCCGAAGGTTCACACACATTGCAATAGATACTTGTCTCAATGGGGGCTCTCACTTGGGTAACACATTAAGTCTGCCTGGGTGTGTGTGTGTGTGCGCGCGCACGCTTGACAAAGAGTGGTAGCACAGTGGCTTGGCGAACTGCGCTACGCATTCAGCCACGCGAGTTTCGATGTCTGGTAACATAATTTGTGAATATTTGAACTGGTCTCGAGTCTGCCCTAGGTCGACTCGGCCTTATACGAGTACCTGGAGCCATGTGTAAACGTCATCACTTTGGAGAAAAAGGCGGCCGAGCGTGTTGCTTCCCGCACCGCCACCTCATGCTCCGTGCCCAGCCTTCATCGGTGCACGCAAACACCAAACAGACTAGCCCCAATAGCCTGTTCGGGCTGTGTGTGTGCGTGTGCGCGTGTGCCTGTGCGTTTACAGGTGTGAAAGAGCCGGAGGGCGAGAAGCACCTGGACACGGTGGACGAAGAGGTGCTCAAGAAGAGGCGTGAAATCGAGCAGGTGGGCGCCTCTGCGGTCTGCAAACGGGTTTGACCGTCGCGCTGTTCGGCGAAGCCGCCCGCGAAATAATAATGCCCCCTCTTGTGTACCTGCATTACGCAAAAACGCACGCTATTTCCTCCGCGGTTGTGTAATGTGCACTTAAAGGAGGAATGCCGCTTCAAAAATGATTGCAGCTGTTTAGGGGTGTGGTTTGAATCCGTCTTGTCATGTACATCGCATGCACACCTACATGTGCAGCTTGTTCAATTCCACGGCTGGATGACGGCTTCGCCGTGCGCTGTGCGTCGTTGCGAGTTACTTTGACTGTACTTCACCCAGGCGGGTCATTGCGGGTTGGTGAAGGCAGGAACACGGGAGCATAGAAGTATAGTACAGTGATTGACAATACTGTCGACCGTATAGCCCCTCAGTAGTCATCTTTATCAGCACTATCCAAGTTCAACCCTCCTTATCTTGCGAAATAATAGGTCGCACACTACTGCCCGGAAAACTGTTATTGTAATCTCTTTGTTTTTAATGTGTTTCGTGTCTTACGATCATTGGACGAAATAGATTTGTGTTCCGGTTGGCATTGGTTTGTATTCAGGTTGAGGATTGGGCGCATCGCTGGGTGAATTTGATCAAAGGGCTGTGTGTATACACATGTGTGAAGAGAAAAGCCACGGTTAAAAGGGGGAAACTCGCCGCGGTCGTGTACCCACTTTGGTCACACAGAGTTGTGTTTAAGTCGTTATAATGGTGAAAGAGTCAGGTTTGGCGTCGGTGCAGACGATGTGCAGGTCTGCACCGTCTCGGGCCCTGTGGGCCTCATCTTTCAACCCCGACAACAGAATAGAAGCGCGAGGGCTTGCTCTCGGCACCTCTGTTCCTCTGCGGCTGCGTTCTTCTAATGACGTTTTCAGCCTGCGAGACGCTGCTGGCGAGCGTGGGGAGGAGAAAGGGAAAGCATCTTTGGTAGAGCTCTGCTTTTTTGACTGAAAAAAAAAAATTCCCGAATTTTTTTTTTTGCGGTTTGACATCAGGCACTTAACGACGGCTCCGTTACGACTTGCCTTTGACCGGATTTTTTTTCCCCCTCTGAAAAAAAGTACAAAAAAAAACAACGTTGAGGTACAGTAAATTGTCGCTGGGACATGTTAAAAACCTGAAACGCTATAAAATTGTTGGCCATCTCGGGAAATTCACCGTTAATGATAGGTTCTCGAAAAACGGAGATATTTTGGTTTTCTCGATCTTGACAAGACCCGTTTTTTTTAATAGGGCTCTGGAAAATCCTAAACATGGCTAATGGCGATCGTAATGATGGCGGTTTTACTTTCTGGCCGTGCGTGCGTGTGTGTGTTTGCGTGCGTCTGTGTGTCCTTACCTTTGGTCACCTTCTGGTGTTCTGTGCGTGTTGGTAGATTTTTTTCTTCTGGTCCGTTTAAGCGCTAAATTAACACCCTGTCGCCTAATTAGTTGGACTTCCACGGCCGGTGGGTGATGACAGAGCGGGGCTTTTTTTAATGAGGCTAAATCCGCTTGGCACGACCGACCGCTGCCGTTTAGAAAGTGGGGCCAAGGGACATTTTGGGGGGGACGAGGGAGGGGGGGTGGGTGCGGATGGTTGCCGGTGTGTGTAACCACCCTAATTACAGCTTGCCCATCGCCAGGGTTCAAGAAAGGGTGTGCGGCTGCCGCTGGTTGGAATGCACGGCGGCGATTCGATCTGCTCAGAATCCCAGGCCCCCCTGTGTACGGTGTAGCGCGCGGGGGTTGGTTTTGGTCACGGGAACAATGCACACGAGTCGTTTTTGTGTACCGATTATTTGTACGGACTTGGTTTGTATATTTTTTGGGTACATTAGGAGAGCGAGAGCGAGAGAGAGCGGTGTCTGGTTCTGTTTTGCTAACGGTGTTGGTTCTTGGGAAGATAAACAGCCCCGCCGCGGTTTCCGAATTAATGAAAATCCACAAGTCTTTAATGCACGAATAATAATTGCTCTTTTTGAAAAGGAAGTGCATTCTTGCGCAAACAAGGGCCGCTTTTAATGAACCATTTCATTAAAAGAATTTCAACGAAGGTATGCACTTGAGGCTTGTGACCAAATCACCTGGAATGTGCCCGATCACATTGAATCTCCGACGGTAAGCAGACGTGCGCCTGCAGAGTGCTTGGATGGGCAACCACCGTGTGCATAACAGTCATTATAGGCTGCGGGGGGCTGAGTTACGGACAGCAGAGGGCAGTGCCGCAAACTGTTTTGGCGTATTGTCCTTTGCTCTCACGCCTACGCTGCCCACCGTTCATCAACCTGCACCGACCACCATGGTGACGTTTGGTCAAATTACCCCCACACCTCTGATGAGCACGGTTCACTACGTGCGGTGCCAAGCAAAGTTCAACGTGCAAGCTGCACGGTGTTGGAGAGGACCTAATCCAGCAGTTAATTGACAAGGGGGTGCGCACATATACATGCTATTAATCACACATTTGTGTGGATTATTTGTGTCAGTGAATATCCTTGGTTGTGCATTTTCTCATTGCGTGTTTTGAGTAGATATTCTCACAAAGATGTGCTTTGTAGGTATTGCCGCTGAATTTTATGTTTGTTGAACTCCTTTCGCACCGTACGTAGCCAACCATGCTAATTGGAGGTGTGAATGCACAGTCGTTAAAACACCAACTGCCTATGCTGAACGGTCACATTTAAATATGAGAACTCTTGTCTCTTTCCTGACCAATAAGGCTCCTTTCGTTTGTGGCCGACTGGTGCGGCCGATGTATCGGGAGTGATTGGAGATTGTGTTCTGTTTGAATACAAAAAAAAACCATCCCAGCGCGATCGTCGGCAAGGGAGCGTTATGCGTTGGTTCTCGTAATTATATGGGAGATGGGCGAGGCAGCGTTAAACATCTACGCAGAGGAAAATATGGAGTCGCACGTGCTGCGCTGTGGCGAGATGTTAACTCCCTTGCCTTTAATACAGGTGGTTGTGGGTTCGATCCCAACCCTGACACTTGTGTATTTGGAGTGTGCGTGTCTCTCTCCCCGTGGTCGCGTGGATTTTTCTCTGGGTCCTCCGGTTTTTCCCTCCACATTTAGAATCAACGTACGTTTTGAGTATTTGGCTGCTATATATAAAAAAGCCACTTTGTTGAGCTATCATTTGTGGCAAGGTTGCATCTGAAAAAAAGCTATATAGCGCAGTGGGCCTTACCTGGTAAAAAAATTTGAAAAAAATATTGCTCTCCAGCAAGGTATCTCTGCTTTGTAAATATCATGAAGTTGATGCCTGGGGGTGTGTGAACGCCTTTGACTCCAGAACAAACTCGACAGATTGTCAATAAATACATCGTCAATTATTAAAGAATTATAATTCGACAGCCAGGGGGAGCAGTCTCACAGATGTTCGCAACACTGCGCTGCAAATCTTGCGACTGGAGTTAGACTCTCGACTGTGGCTATTGTCAGGGGCGAGTGAGATATGAACCAGTCCTGGCTCTCCCACACCCCCCTCTCAAACCCACGCCGACTGGTGTGGTCAAGTACAGGAACAAAACAACCCCATGACCGACACGGCTTTGGGATGCCATCATCCAGCAGTGGATTCACAAATTGCTGTATTTTGTGTAAAATTAAACAACAGTTTGAGCTAGAGGCCATCAAAACTATATACACACTTAGAGGTACGAGCATTTGTATCTCATTTCTCTAAACTTCCGTATTCCACCCTTGTCATCGGCGACACACATGTTGCATCGACATCTGAAGAGTCTTGTGGTCGCCAACGTCTCGGTTACGTTTCGTGGCATTTTTGTCGCGCGCTGTTTGAGGGTTCGCTATGAAGATTTTCAGCCGAACTCAAAAAAGTTAACTATTTGAGGAATACATTGGAAGCATTTCAACCGCGTAGTTCAAATTATCATTTCATAAATGATTGATGATAGCTTCATGAACACCCTTGCAAGTGTTCGCTGTCTGTATCTAAAGGTCGTCAGATGTCTGGTGACTGCCATAGGTGAGATTAATGATCGTCTGACTTGTGCAGTTCTATGCAGCTCAAAAAACGGTGATAAAACGCAAAGTCTGAAGAAGTTAAGATGTTTTCCCCTGAATGCAAAGGGAGAAACTGGTGGTGTGTTATTTTACACTCAAAAGCTTCCTTAGAGATGTTCATCATTTGCAGCGGATCATGAGCGCGTAATGCTTCAAACGTGTAACTGTTTGGAGATATGGACTTGACATCGGAGCAGCCGGCGGCGTGACAGATCATTTGTCATCAGACGTTGGCGTGGAGAGAAATGTGGCCACTTTGTTCAGAAGTGTGACGCCGGTGTCGGCAAGCCAAGAATGTGATTATTGTGGCAACTTCGCGCGAGCCTTCGTCTTGTTCTCTAGATCTGTTGAGCTTGTAGGCGATTGGAGCTTGAAAACCTGGCTTTTATTCGTCAGAGAGATTGTGTTTTGTACGCCGCGTCTCACAGCAGGGGAGATTTGTTACCGATGACCGCGATGCACAAGTGTACGGCAAGCCATCGCTTGACGCAGGGGTTGTGTTCCTGACGATGTCCGCGTATAGTAAATTTGCGTTCAGCGGGGAGTAGTTTCCCCATAGGGGATAACGGTGAAGGTGGGGGTGCCGTTCCAGCCCGTAATTTTATCGTTGTTTTTAATCGACAGGACACTGTTTTACACGTTTCTTTTTAAACGTGTCGTGTTTATGTAGTGTTTCCATAAATATGCCATGTGTGACAATCATTTATTTAAATATAACGAAGTGTGAGCGAGAGAGATATGGGGAGTGAAAAAGATGAGGGGGTGAGGATAATGCTACGTACAAAGGTGCCGGAACACAGACTGGAGAAGAGGAAGACATGACATGTAACACAGCACGCATCCACACAGTGCCAGTACTACATTACCTCCGATGAGTATGGTTGGCCACGTATGATGCGAAAGAAGTTCAACATGCAGATATACATACCAGCTCCCAGCATCACTGGACAACATTGCTAATGCCCACACCGTGTAGAAAGTAGTCGGTCACATGCGCTAGACTCTCGTTATGGTGAGTAGTCCATCACATGCGAGACTGCCTTATAGTGAGTAGTCTGTCGCGCGTTACACTCGTGTTATCCCGAGCGCGGTGCACGTTAAGCGGGAAAACGTTCCATAAAAGACAACCCACGTTGAAGCGAAAACGCCGAGTGTGAACGCCACGCGTTAAACGGGAATTTATTACTGTCAGTAGAAATATGCCGTGAGGGTCAGTGTTGTTGGCATGGCTCCTAGTGCAGGGAGTTAAATGGGGGGGGGGGCACTTTGTCTTCTGTCATTCATTTAATTCATTCAATTAATTTTTTGAGTAAAAACTCGCCCCCACTAAAGCGGGCATCGCAATACTTTCCAATATAAATTAAACAAAGGTAGTCCTACCTATAAAATCGAGGCACATATAAAAAAAAAGATTTATCACTGGCCCCATAGGTTTCTGCGTGCAGGAGGCAAAGTTTTACGCGTGCTCGTTTTCCAACAGTAGGCCGAGGCTTCTTTAGGTGCTACGTGGGTGAGCAGGTCACGTCAGAAAAATCTGAATCGGGCGTATTGCAGGATCATGAGATAGTGACGGCTTGGGGGGGACCCTTCCATTTGGCTGCTGTGAATTTCCACGTGATAAGCCACTTCGTTTAGCCATCATTTGTGGCCAGGTTACAGTGGGCCTTAGCTGGAAAAATAAAAATAAATGTTTAGTTTAGACTGCCGGGGAAGACTGAGACCGAGAAGCCGGACCGGCGACGATTCATCGACGAGAATCATCGATGACAATCGTCGGTCCTCTTGAAGCGCAAACCCCAACCAGGCGAGCCAAGCAATTAGGATCACGCTAATCCGTGTGAATTAGCTGATGATCAGGAGGTACCCACCTGGCTCTCGGATAGTTTAGTTTAGTCGTGGCTGATGACGATGATGACGACGTCATGGCTGATGACGATGGTGATGACGTCATGGCTGATGACAATGGTGACGACGTCATGGCTGATGACGATGGTGATGACGTCATGGCTGATGACGATGGTGACGACGTCATGGCTGATGACGATGGTGACGACGTCATGGCTGATGACGATGATGACGACGTCATGGCTGATGACGATGGTGACGACGTCATGGCTGATGACGATGGTGACGATGTCATGGCTGATGACGATGGTGACGACGTCATGGCTGATGACGCTGGTGACGACGTCATGGCTGATGACGATGGTGATGACGTCATGGCTGATGACGATGACGACGTCATGGCTGGTGACGATGATGATGACGACGTCATGGCGGTGACGATGATGATGACGACATTATGGCCGGTGACGATGATGACGACGTCATGGTCGGTGACGATGATGATGACGACATTATGGCCGGTGACGATGACGACGTCTTGGTCGGTGACGATGATGGTGACGTCATGGCTGATGACGATGATTATGACATGGCTGGTGACGATGATGACGTCATGGCTGATGACGATGATTATGACGTCGATTATGACGTCATGGCTGATGACGTCATGGCTGATGACGGTGATGACGTCATGGCTGATGACGTCATGGCTGATGACGGTGATGACGTCATGGCTGATGACGGTGATGACGTCATGGCTGATGACAATGATGATGACGTCATGGCTGATGACAATGATGATGACGAGCATGCGTCCGCATCTTTGTTCTGTGTCCGCTTTTCGTAGGCGTACCGGGAGGACTGCGGGACGTTCTGCACGGTGGTGAGGATGCTGGTGGACAAAGACCCGTCGCTGGAGAATGCCGTGCAGGCCTCGCTGAGGGCCAACATCGTTGAGATGGGGCAGCAGGCCCTGGAGCAGCTCCGGAATTTTGTGGCGAGCCGCAAGCGCTTGCGGAGCAAGGAGCACTCGCCGGCGCTGCCGCAGGTCTGACCGGCTCCGTAGCGCGTCTGCAACAGCGGCCGCGGTGGTCGAGGTGTTTCGCTTGAGAAATGGAAGTGGACTTGGGCACAGGAAGGCGTGATAGTGTTGAATGTTTATAGTGTGTACGTGTGTAAAATGAGCGTGTCGAAACTTGGGTTTTTGGAAAGCCCTTGGTGTTGGTTAGCAGTATTGGTTAACCATTGTCTGTATTGTTATTGTTGTTTTTTTTTTTACAAATCGTGTACAGATGTCAATAAGTGCGTGTGAAGTTACGTTTGCTGTAACTGTTATATTATATAAACCATCCGGATAAGACTGTGGTGGTGTAACAGTTGTTTCTTCCGGAGTGGAAGTTGGACCAATGGAACTATTTTCTTAATCCCCCTCCCCCACCCACCATTTTAATGGATACACCACAAGGCAATCGTCATGTTCTGTGTGGTGGGGTAAACTGTGAGTATTCCCAGAACGCTTCTAAGGGTTCTGTCCAGAGTCGAGGGGGAGTTAGTGGGATTTTTCTGGAGCTCCCTCCCTCCAATGCCGGGGCCTGGACCTACACCTTTTGCCTTTGCAAACCATATTCAAATGATGTACATATTTTTTACATCGAGGCTACCGAAACGCAAAGAACAGGAGTGAAGAGATGAGAAAAAAAGAAAATAGGACACATAACAAAACATCATTATTTAATTGGAAGGCGGGCGTGATTTTGTGACACAAATTCAACGAGCCGATGTGGGAGCGGTGAATCGTTACATCCTAGATTTGAAGCTTTCATCCTAGATTTGAAGCTTTAGGTAAAGTTACGTAGGTAAAAAATGAAATTAAAATTAATAAAAAATAAAAACAATAAAATCACGACGTTTCGGAGGCAACACAAGCTTCACCTGAAGACGGAAGCTTGTGTTGCCTCCAAAACGTCGTGATTTTTATTTTACTTTTATTAATTTTAATTTTTTACCTACGTGACTTTACCGAAAAAACCTAAGAATATAAATCGTTACATCGCTTGAAGGGAGACTGCAGAGGTTCAACGGTGGGGGGGAAGTGAAGGTGGCGTGGTTTTTTTATGAGCGCGACATCGTTCTATTTTTCCTAACACTCACTCAGTGCGGCGTTGAGTTTTGTTGTCTTACTCTTATTACACGGTGGGCTTTGTTGCAAGTCCCATTACCCCCTGCTGGTTCAGTAGGCAAGTGTACCGTATTGAAATGTGACACCAGCATACTGCACATACGTCAAAACACTACCGGCGTTGGTAGGAGGGGCAGGACGGGGTTGGTGAAATCTGAACCATCTGGGCTTTATTTTAACCTAATTCTCGGGACGACTGCGAGATGTTTTATTTTTTATTTTCTTCTTGTAATACAATGGTGTGTTTTCAACGTGCCGTTGTGCATCTGCCTGTGTGTGCTTTTGCCGTCGGGTTTATTTTTTTTATTTTCTGCATGTTACGTTACAGAGCGTTCCCTTGTACTATGTTGGGCAGAAATGTAATTATTTACAAAGTAAACGTGCGTGACGTCACACATTGGAATAGCAAAAGCATCTGTCCGTCTCAACGAGATTTGTACATTTTGTGTCGTGAATATTCTGTAATAAAAACCAATGTACAGTGTCTTTGCGGTTGTTTCACTTGGTTTCACGCGGACATTATTGCGCGCGTGTCATGTGCTTGCAGCGTATATACCTTGGCAGTGAGGGCTCGAGTAAATTTGAAGCGATTGAAACGGCGTAAAATCTTTCCGTCCCCTTCAAGTGCGGCGTGACTCGGCGTGTTTTTTGTTTTAAATCGAATGCCGGATTGAAGGCCTTGGCCACCGCCAAACCCAGCCGGTCCCCGTGGCGCCACGGTCCATCTCGCCGCTGGCGCACACACCATCTCTGTGGCATCGCTCCACCCTCCCGCTGTTGGTCGTTCCGCTCTGGTGTGGCTCCCCTGCTTGGGCTGCCCCACCCGGCTGGGTGAGTGAGAAGGTTTGGAGTGGCTTGGCCGCTCGGGTTGAGAGGGAAACAACCTCCAGGTCGGGGAAACGAATTTCGGTGCATCAATATCGGGTCTGGCGCTCGCTTTCGGGCAACGTGTTTGCAATTACCGCGGTGCAATGTCTTGTGTTCTGTGCTTTGCACAGGCAGAGGGGTTGTGGTGGAAATGGGTGTGGTCTTTAGCTTTCGCCTTGTGACCCCCTGCTTGAAGGAGGAAACATTGAGCACAACTTCAAGGTAATTTATAAGTGCCTTAATGTTTTCTTGCCTCATTGAGGCTTGGCGTTTGTACGTGCACATGTTAAAGAGTTCAGCGTTTATGCAGTTTCACAGTTTGGCTGCAGTTGGGAAAGATGGCGGTAAGTGCATGCTGGTCACAGTGTCTCAAACCGTGCAGAGATTTTTGAATGTACAGTCTGTTCAAATTTTCTTGCTGTGGATTTCATACCTGATGGTGATTGCTTGTGTTGCAGTCGAAACGTGATAATTGTTTTATTGTTTTATATATATATTATTTTATTATTTCCCTTCTACGTGACTTTACCGAAAGAACCAAGAATATAATACAGTCTGTTCTATCGCGCTGTCTGTTTTCACAACGCGAATTGGATGTAACGCGACGATGAACGTATTGGAGAAAATTTTCTTTTATAACGCGGATGCAAATTTGGTATAACGCGATCGGGTGAACGGAACGACGTCGCGCAATTAGGAATAAACGGTTGTCCGGCTGCCTCCGGTGTAGCGTCACACAAGGCATTGGGATGCTGCTGGATGCTTCGAGATGCTCCCCACGCGCCTCAGTCTTTGGCCTGCGTACGCATCTCATGTTATCGCGGACCGCTTTAGCCTATATTACATTTATTAGAACGCGATTTTTCCCCGTAACGCGGCGTTCTTCAGGAACGCAACTACTACCGCGTGATAGGAGAACAGACTGTGCTGTATAATTTGTCCTCTGTAGGACACCATTTGGAATAACAAACTGAAGAGTTTGTAAAGAGCTGTGGAGAGAAGCAATGCTTGGAGTTGCATTGAGAGATAATGACACGTGGACTTGCAAATGTACACGGGTTGAAGGAAATTATTTTGACTCGAGGAATGAAGGTTGGCCTGAGCAAAATGGGCACGTTGCAAGGAGGGGGAAGGGGGGGGGTGGTTGGCTCGTGGTCAAGAATAATGATGGAGTTGCAGCCAAGGAGTGGAACGCATCCCAGCGAATGTTCGCCCAGGAGCGAGATCGGGCGATGGAATTGGATTGCGGGTAGATGCTCGGTGGATTACCACATGGCACGGCATGAGAGATGGTGGTGAATGGCTTTGGCGGCAGGCCTTCATCCAGCTGCGGACGGTGAGGAATATTTAATAACGTTGACCGGGGTTCTGGAATGGTTTCGGTGATTTTTGAGACTTGGCAATTGTGAGTTGTGTTGATGCAAAAAGCAACAAACTTTAATTTTGGAGCTTGCAGTGTTTGTTTTAAATGGTTGTTTGGGGTACATTTTCAATGTTGGCTACCTTTTTGGGTTTTTCTGGCCAGATGCTGGAGCTGTGTTATTTTGTTGTCGCTGCGTTTTTGGTGGAAAAACCCACCAAAAACTTTTTTTTTCATTAAGAAGAAAAAAAAAATCCTTGCATGGATTGCATCTGAATATTGTTGGATTAATTTCTGTTTATTCAATTTAAAAGTTGGGACACTCAATAGCATGGGAAATAAAAATGATGCATCCTTCCAGAAAAATATTGCACAAGCAAAAACATATTCGTGGATGTTGTGTGTTTATATATATTCCATTGCACATATATTATAGAACGTACATGAAAGAGAGTGGCTGTGAGCCACACACGGTGAATTCCATCTAATCACAAACGTCTCTAAACAGGAGGCTACTTTGAAAAATAATGCATTTGTTATCATCATCATCATCATCAGCCACTCATTACACACAAAATGCTCGCCACAAATGAACCACCGGTACCTTGCTGCTCTCGTCAAGTACCATAAAACCATCATCACGCAAACTCCGGTCTTCCTCGCAGCGTCTTTTGGCTATTCATCGAACAAAGAAGGTCACTGCGTCGCGTGCTTTCAGATGCCCTTCTGCGGCCGTCTGGAACGCTCTTCCCATATTAGGAATCCACTGGAGCTGTGCACTTTTAAATCATCGAGATTGAAAACTAATTGCTTTACAACTGGTTTTGTGTTTAATATGTTGTCCTTTCCCCGCACCTCTGATTAGCACGGTTGGCTACGTACGGTGCGAAAGAAGTTCAACATACATATAGCCGTGGTCAAACCATTGCTGTGTCACCTGCTGCGTCACCTGCTGTGTCACCTGCTGCGTCACCTGCCGCGTCACGTGCCGTGTCACCTGCTGTGTGACCTGCTGTGTCACGTGCCGTGTCACCTGCTGTGTCACCTGCTGTGTGACCTGCTGTGTCACCTGCTGTGTGACCTGCTGTGTCACCTGCTGTGTGACCTGCCGTGTCACCTGCTGTGTCACCTGCTGTGTCACGTGCTGTGTGACCTGCCGTGTCACCTGCCGTGACACCTGCTGTGTCACCTGCTGTGTCACCTACTGTGTCACGTGCTGTGTCACCTGCTGTGTCACTTGCCGCGTCACCTACCGCGTCACCTGCCGTGTCACCTGCCGTGTCACGTGCTGTGTCACCTGCTGCGGCACCTGCTGTGTCACCTGCCGTGTCACGTGCTGTGTCACCTGCTGTTAGCCTGCTGTGTGATTGCCAGTGGCCGGTTGCGTCAGGCTCAGTTCGCACTTCATCAAATTCACAACCAGGCTGCCAACCCCAATTCATCGTTTCAAACCGCGTGTGAAGGAAATAGCTGCACCTGCCCTGTGTCGTTCAAGTGTGGGTTCCACGCGTCGCACTGCCTCCTACGCAGGCTGTGAGCCAGGCGAGGTGATTCCTGCGTCGAGCCCCGGACGAGCCGCTCGTGCTGGACACGTCAGCCCGACCGAACCAACTAAAACCAAAGAATATTTTATGTTGTTAATTGTTTTTTTTACCCTTTTATCTGGCAACAAAACTGACACCTTTTTTTACAAGGAGTCATGTTTGCATTGACCACAATACCTGCAGTCGGAATGCAAACAAAAAACACAACTCTGATAATGTATGCACTGTCCTTGAAATTGATTGATCCACACCTGAGACAGCTCTCTTTAGAGCCTAGTCTCACATGGTGTTGGACCAGATGACGCCATGACTCCTCGTAAAAAAGGTGTCAGTTTTGTTGCCAGATAAAAGGGTAAAAAAACAATAGTTTTTTTACCCTTTTGGCAAATGAGGTTCCAATGAATGTTTTATGTTGCCAGGTATTGACCCACTGAGCTCCATAGCTCTTCTTGAGAAGCGAGCTGCCTGTCACAAATGGCCCCTCAACGAAGGGGCTTATCACGTGGAAATGCACAGCAGCCAGATACTCTAAACGCGTGACGTTGATTCTGAATGTGGGAGGGAAAAACCGGAGAACCCGAAAAAAAAATCCACAAGACCACGGGTAGAGAGAGAGAGACACGCAAACTACAAATATACAGCAGCAGGCGTCAGGGTCGAGGTCTAAGCCACGACCTCCTGCATACCAGGCGAGGTTGTTAACATCTCCTAGCCACCGTGATAATGATGAGAGAGAGAGACACGCAAACTCCAAATATACAGCAGCAGGCGTCAGGGTCGGGGTCGAATCCACGACCTCCTGCATACCAGGCGAGGTTGTTAACATCTCCCTGCCACCGTAATGATGATGAGAAAGAGACACGCAAACTCCAAATATACAGCAGCAGGCGTCAGGGTCGGGGTCGAATTCACGACCTCCTGCATACCAGGCGAGGTTGTTAACATCTCCCTGCGTTCCCTGACCTCCTTGGCAATCGGGAGCGTCTCACCGTTGACTCCGCAATCTCGCGAGACGTTTCCTTGTCAATCAATTTGGTTGTTGAATGCATTTGTCTGTCTGTCTGTCTTTTTACATTTATTGTGCGGAATTTACAGTGCACCAGTAGGCGTGCTTTATCCTGATTGTGGTCAACTCGTCCGGATCTAGTGGTTGTTGCCTAATAAAAAAAATGTTAAGTTAAAAAAAGATGTTCAGCTGGCTTTTAAGCGTTTAGTTCACACGAACGAACCACGCCGGTTCTTTTGTGCTTACGTTAACGCGTTGCGTGGCGATGGTGTTATGTCTACAGCCGTGTAGCATTTTCTATCGTGCTTTCTATTCCACAGAAGCCGGCCTTCTTAATTTGTGAGCAGGCATTTTCGCACGCGCCCGACCTCTTGTTAGATCCCAGAAGCTAAGCAGGTCCCGAACCTGGATAGTGCTTGGCTCTTTGACCAATATGCATCACAGGTGTGGACGATTTAAAAAATAACAGGAAGGGCGCACTGAGATGTTTGGCTCTTTTTGAGAAGCAACCTGGCCACAAATGTAGCTCAACAAAGTGGCTTGTCACGTGGAACATTAGCAGCTGTCAAATACTCGAAATTCCTACTGTTCATTCTAAATGTGGAGGGTAAAAAAAAATCCACGCGACCACAGGGAGAGCGAGACACGCAAACTCCAAATATACAACAGGCGTCATGGTTGAGGATCGAACCCGCGACCTCCTGTAT